ACCCGCCGCCCGGCTTCTTAGCGAATAAAACTGGTGCTGCTGCCGGTGACGTACTAGCTCTAATGAAGCCCTTGTCAAGTAGTTCTCTCAAGTACTCTCGTAAGACCAATAACTCCTCCTGAGACATGTTATACAAGGGGCCATACGGAGGCGTTGTACCAGGCAAAAGTTCGATAGAATGATCACAATCTCGGTGAGGTGGGAGTTTATCAGCCCTTTTTTTGTCAAAGGTTCCCAGGTGTTCATGGTATTGAGGGGGTAATTTCGAGGNTACGGAGGCGTTGTACCAGGCAAAAGTTCGATAGAATGATCACAATCTCGGTGAGGTGGGAGTTTATCAGCCCTTTTTTTGTCAAAGTTTCCCAGGTGTTCATGGTATTGAGGGGGTAATTTCGAGGCAGGGTCGATAATAGTCTTCGGGGCTAGTGCTTTGCGAATGTCTTCAAGTGAGGCTCCAGCGATATGCATATCCGCAGCCTGCCGTTGTCTTTGTTGAAGTTCAAATGAGGCTGGAGAAAGTGAGGCTTGAGAGTGCTCTATCAGGTGAATAGGTGACTGTTCCATAGCTAGCTCTTTTTTCATCTGGGATAGTCCGTCCCGACTTTTAGAGGAGTAGCGTGGTTGGCGATCATGTTTCTGAACCAGTTCCAGCTTTTCCTCGCTAACCCCAAGCTCCCGAAGTCTTACATCTATCTCATGACAGGAGAGCGCGAAGACTTCAGTACCTATCCTCTTTGAAATAGACATAAACTGTATAGGACCTACGCGGCGAGGGAGTGAGGCTGTGTTCGCGGCAATGTCGAACTGTTGTTTAGCCGACTTAGGTTTTGGTAGGTCTGTACAGCGAACTGGTAATTGATAGCAGCCAGAAGGTAGACAGTGCTTGCGACAGTGTTCGGTGTTGAAAGACAACAGTCCTTCCTGATAGCGGACCACAGGGTCGTGCTTATACATCCATGGGTAGCCAATAATAACACTATGAGAGGCTAGTTTAGTAACAAAAAACCCTTGTTGGTGGATAATATGCTTGTCGATAGCGAGTTCAAGTTCGACATAATGAGTAATAGTCCCTGATTTAGACAAGGAGCCATCTAAAGTCCGTAGTTCGCGAGGCTGGGTTAATTTGATCAAGTTAAAGTTGTTTTGTTGCGTAAAGGAGAGGTCCATGAAGCACTCGCCAGTAGCTCCGGTGTCCAACAATCCTTGACAGCGTCGATTATCAAGGATCAGGCTTTTCCCTGGCCAGCATCCCGAGCTTCCTTGCGGGCTCTCGCCACCGCAGCCTTAGGACATTCCTCAACGCCATGAGCAACAGAGTCGCAATAGAAGCATAGGTTGTGCTGAATTTGATAAGAGCGGCGAGCATCCTTCTCCTCCTTCGTAACTGCCCTCCTCTTGTTGCCGATGTCGTGCTTAGTCCAAGCAAGGTTGCTATTATGTAATCGAGCAGCTTCAAGGTCCATAGGGTCTCCGTGGGTGGGTGTAACACCTGTCTGCGGGGTTACTCCTCCTCCTCCTCCCCCTCTAGCAACGTGTTCCTTCCTCAGATAATTGATCCCATAAAGCGATTGAGCAGAATGTTCGATGTCTCGGAGCAAATCCACCACTTCAGTAAGTGTTATGGCGGTTTTCTTTGCAGTATATTGTGGCGAGTTATAGAGCTTGTCGATAAGCAGAGGGTTCGTAGAGCGGAGAAGGAACTCCTTGGCCACGCTCTTGTCGATCTTCGCAATAGCTGTGAGGTTCAGGAATGTAGCGAGAAAGGTTGTAGTGTCGGTTGTACCTTGTTTGAGTGCTATGATCTTGGAAAATGCTTTAGAGGCTCGATGCTTGTCACCAAAGCCCCTAACAAGGATGTCCTGCATCTCGTCGACTGTGCTAATCCCTTCAAAATTACCGGATCGACCGAGGTATGCTTGAAAAGTTGTAGCCGCCTTAGCTTCTAACATGCTGTAAACATATCTCATACGAGCGACCTCAGTTGTCCACCAGTCTTCGTTCTGCATAAGCTTCATATTGAGTTTAGTGAGAAATTCCTCCAAATCGTCGGGGCTTCGATAGGCAGGGCTACCAAAAGGTCGTGGATCAGGGTGTTCCTTTGAAAGCTGAGAGCGAAAGGCTGATGTAGCGAAAGCTGAACTCGGAGGCACTGGCGGAGCTCTAGCAGCGAGAGTGAGTTGCTGGCGCAACTCCTCGATAACCTTGTTTCCTTGAACTGCTTCATCCTCCATCCGCAGATTGTCGGCCTCAAGAGCCTTGATCTTCGTTCTAGCGTTACTTAAACCATGGAATATTTCACTGGCTAGATCCTTGCCAAAGACTTGTCCTAACATAATAATATCGTCGCCATTGAGCAGCCGCTCTAAAAGGGGGAACTCGCAGCCAGTGTAGTCGCCACCATCAAAGCCGACAAATCTGTTGCTCGCAGAGGGAGTGGAGGTTGTTGTAGGCGCGTGCGCAGACGCGTCCTGGCCTGGATTCTGCTGCCATCCTTCAAACGTAGGTGAGGCCGAGGCTATGAAGTTATTGAGGTACTCCATAGCTTATAGGTGCTATTTGAGGGTCGAGCTCGTAGTCAGTCGTGGTCGGGTTTGTAGTGCTGTGTGGTACACATAAAGTGAAAGTGAGAAACAAAGTCGAAGTCGGAATCGAAGAGTCGGAGTTCGTGAGTATTCAAGGCTATAACGACGATGTCGATCGTAGGAATAATGAATTAATGAGGTAGAGAAGTCGAAGTTGAGGTTCAAGTCGAAGTGGAAGTGGAAGTCAAGATCGAAGTCAGAGTGGGAGTCAAAGTCGGAGTCAAAGTCGAGATCGAAGTCAGAGTACAAGTTTGTAAGTATTCAAGGCTACGACGACGATTTCGATCGCAAGATTAGTGAATTAATAAGGTTGAGTTGTCAAGATCGAGGTCAAAGGTAAAGTCGAGGTGGAAGTCGAGATCGAAGTCAAAGACAAAGTCGAAATCGGAGTTGAAGTTCGTAGGTATTCAAGGTTGCGACGACTATGTCAATCGCAGGGTTGACGAATTGATGAGGTAGACAATATGTAAGGGTGCGATAGCGACAAGGTCAACTGTATGCGTAAGAACTAAATTGTCTACAAAGAGTGGAAGTGATCGTAAGATCTGAGGCTATTTACAGTTCCAAGGGCACGGGCCACATCGCTTCCTCCACGTCTGTACCCTCACAATGGAGGTGTTTGTTGTATGAACTCCCGAGGATTAGGGATAGATCTTGTGAAGCTGGAATTGGAGATTTTTTTTAATGGAATGTGTATTCTAGTGTACATTAATAAGTTTCCTAGAAATGATTGGTGTATACTTCGAATGAATGTTCGTGGACTATTCGAAAATCTATTTCTCTCTTTTAGATATATAGCTATACTATTAGCGTGTTAACAAGACTAATCAACTACTTAACGCTACTCGAGTTAAGTTAAATAAGTATAATTAGGTAATTCCGTTAAGTTAAGTTAAGTAGTAGATTCAACTATTTAAGTAGTACTCGAGTAGTTATATATAACTATAACTATAATATCCTATTAGAAGACAAGGGTATAATATAGAGTAGATAATCTAGAATACAGAGAGAAGCTAGCTAGGGAAGAGCGGAGCTCTAATATAAGAGCTAACTATTAGTATAGAAGTGTGTCACGAATCACGTGTTACCACGGGAGATAGTGAAGACCAGGCGGCGCCCTGACAGGTCGAGCATTATCATAACTCTTATAGCAGAAGGGGATCCTTAGGCTAGCTAAGCGATCCATGGATTTCGTCGGATTAAAGTACCACATGACCATGATCGCTTCAGTCGCCTGAGTCGCCTGTCGACTGAAGCGACTGAGGCGAGCGACTAAAGCGATTAGACAGAGAACGAAGGTTCTATATAAGACTGGCACGTCTGCCATTTAGATAGGAGCTTCGTGCTCAACTTAGTTATCAATCTTATCATATTAGTTTGACATCTTTGATACAAGTAACGAGTTCACTTCCAAGTGAACAACCCGATAGTCTTCTTCTTATCATAGCATACCAACCAGCGAACACCCAGCCAAGTTTAGTTAGCCAGTTTGAGTATTCGTTACACCTGGCTGGAACTCGGCTAAGCAGGTGCGCTTGGCACACCTCCTGTATATAAGAGCCTCCAGCTCCTGAGCTTCTGTCCTTTCTTCTCTTCTCTCCTCAGCTTAGAATCTTCGTATCGACAGTTCAACAGTGTCAATCTCACCACTCGTGATACCTGACGTAGTCGTGCACTCTTGCGCGGTCCATCAGCTGTGCGTGTCATCACACCCTATCCCTATCCCTAAAATCCCTATACCCCCCCCC